CGAGATCTGATGGTTGTATAAGGGCAAACCCTTTTTGCTTGGTTCTCATTCTCTCTTGTCTGCTGCCATGTAAGATGTGTCTGCTGCCTTCCACCATGATTGTGAGGCCTCCCCAACCATGTGGAACTGTAAGTCCATTAAACCTCTTTTTTCTATACAAATTACACAGTCTCAAATATATCTTTATCAACAGCATGAAAATGGACTAATACACTTGTAGCATAGTTAAAAGAAAAGAGGAAGGATCTCTTTCTAAATCTCACTGTGTCTCATTGACCCTGACTAGGTAGCACACCTGTGCTTAAACCAATCTCTATGACCAGGGTGATTAGATGTTCTGATTGGCCAGTCCTGAGCCATCTACTCTAGTTTGCAGTCAGGGGTGGAGTCAATTCCATAGAAAGCAGATAAATTAAGAACAGGAGAGAGGATAGTCTTAAGAAAAAAATAAAACTATTATTTCCAAAAAGAAGGTCTACAAATGCTCTGCAACAAATACTACAGACAAACACCATAAACACAAGAACAAATTCTGTTTACCTCCAAAGACTCAGCACTTGTCATAGTACTTGAACAGCATTGGTGTGAAAATGTTTGTTGAATTTTTATATGTAAAGCGTTGCTTTCTGACAAAAAGATAAGATATGCTTTATGATAAAGTATATATCCTAAATATTGACATTTTAAAATTAAATCACCCAGGTTAAATGAGTGCAAATTGTTTAAGATATGTCTGAAAAATGAACTGAATTTTTATAGTTGGATATAAATTCTAACCATACTAAATTTGCAAAGTAAAATTCTGTCAGGTTTTTATATATACTGTAGTTTTCTTTGAACTGAGAAAGTCATGAAAAATCCATACCAAAGTAGTTGACATTTTGGAGGGCTTTTTATCTTTTTATCTTTCTTAACCTAAGGAATACTTGGAACCCTATGCTTTAATTGAAAATGCTGCTTTGGCAATAAGTTTTACATAATTCTCAAAGTGCCAAAATAAACTCTTGGATCAAGGGGTTTATAACAGAAAAAAAAATCTTTCTTTTTAAATGTAAGGAAAAGTACATCTGAAGATTTATTCTCAAAAGTGAGTGTGTGCAAACCAGACTTCTTTGAGGAATAAAGGTGTGCTAACAAGTATTCTATTGTAGCATTTGAGAGTCCCCCAACAGCGTGACACAACTATTTCATTAGCTGCATGTGGGTAACTTGATTCCTCTCACTCCCTCTATTCTTTGTAGGACCTATTTGGGCAGCCATTTAATGCTAACAAGCCAAATTTTTTCTTCACTTCATCCTGCCAAGTAGTACCATAACTGTCATCAAGACATGATCATCTGTTTCATATTGCTTTTATTCATGCTGAATGAAAGCACCAGTGTGATTTGCCATTTTATTTCAGCTCTTATTCTTGAAAAGTGGAAAACTGAAAAGTAGAAAAGTGGTAAAAGAACACTTCTTTTTGTTCCATTTTCCAAATTATGAGACTGTGAATAACATTGTCCCATGTGGTGAATTGAACCATTTTATTGGAAGAATAAAGATTACTAGAATGAAAAGGGAAGGTTTTTAAGAGGAGAAATTGGTTGAAGGAGGGAGAAAATGAAAACTCTACTTAGTAGTATTTAAGATCTTTCACAGTCCAGAACTGCTCTGCCAAATATAGCCTCTATCCACTGAGATTATGAAATATGGTTAATCTGAGTTGAAATGTACTGTTTTGTGCAATGCATATAAAATTTCAAAGACAATACAGAAAAATATTGTAAAATATCTCATTTTTAACTTTCATATTGCTTGTTTTTAAATGTTTTAGATATAATGTATTAAATAAAATATATTCTTAAATTTAATTTCTCTTTTACTTTTTAAAGGCAGTTACTAGAAAACTTTAAATTCCACATGTGGCTTACATTTGTGTCTTACATTACGTTTCTGTTGAACAGTACTAGTACACAATTTACATGCCAAGATGCTAGAATGTTCAGAGATGAGATATAAAGAGGTTGAAGTCATATTTAACAAGTATGTTCAATGTGATTTTCTGTTTTGAAAGGCTTCTTTGGAGTAATATTTGTCTTTCTGGTAGAGGTCAGCATAAAATAGGTACTTTTTTTCTATAAAGTTGCCAATTGTTTTTGCCTGTTAGGTAGATATATTCCCTTTTTCTGGTAATAGTGCACTGGAACTCTCTCCCTCCTTGATTTTGAGACCCTGTGGTTTGGCTGAGGCTGGCCCATGATTCTAAAGTTAAATGTGTGACTCAGGCATAACCAATCAGAATATTCCACTCCCGTGGCCACAATAATTGACTCAAGAAATTGATAAAGTTTGTCAACTGAATCAGTTCTGTGGTTTTGAGTAACTACAGAAAAAGAGGTGCTGCTAATCTGGGGGATTAAGTTTACAACTGCCCACGTACACCTTTTCTAGCACGTGACCTGAAAATGGAAACAACCAAGAGGAGACAAGGAGAAATAGCTTCTGTTTGAATGCCTAGATCCATTCTGTGACTAAAGCTGCCGCTGGGAATTTTTCAGTTTGTTTGTTTGTTTGTTTTGGGGGTGGGGACAGCGTCTTGCTCTATGGCCCAGACTGGAGTGCAGCGGTGCCATCTCAGCTCACTGTAACAGCCACCTCCCCAGTTCAAGCGATTCTCCTGCCTCAGCCTCCTGAGTATCTGGGATTACAGGTGCGTGCCACCACACCCAACTACTTTTTGTGCTTTTGGTAAAGACAAAATTTCATCATGTTGCCCAGGCTGGTCTCGAACTCCTGGGCTCATGCAATCTACCCACCTTGGCTTCCCAAAGTGCTGGGCTAGATTACAGATGTGAGCCACAGTGCCTGGTCAGAATTTTTCAGTTTAATAAGTGATCTTCTTTGATCAAACAAATTTAATTTAATTTCTGACTTTCACTAAGATGTCTAATTAATATATATATAAATTAACAAACAATTGAGAAACAATCACTTTCATACAAGTCAACAAACATTCTTAGTATTTGTATATGTTCAAGTAACCCCGTTGGGTGCTGTTGGAGGAAGGCACAAGGTTTTATACTGTTCACTCATTCATTCCTGTATCCATTTAGGAAACACTCGCTGATATTCTTTTGTTCCAGGTGCTATCTCAGGCACTGGAGAAGAAAACACAAAAATTAAAGTCACAGATATTGACAATCTTTCTTTTTTCTGAATTACATTAGCAATGTGCCTATTGCTTATTATTCTTGCTCTCCCAAATATTTCAATGTTCAGTTTTCCACAAGTCAAATCTGTTATATAATCTCTGTTTCATTTTGTGCTAGGAAATTCTGTTTGGGATCCTTCCATCACCTTACTTGGTTTTGGACTCGTTAATTTCTGCATCTGTTGTCAGCTCTCATCTGTAACTGCCCTTCTTCCCCTTAGGAATTCCTTGACTTTTCTTGCGTTAGATTCCTGTTTCCTAGATCACTATTCCTCTTTGTTATAAGGAAGCATATCCTCTGGTAGTATCATGAAAAGGGATACAGTATTTGTGAGGTCAATGTTTTGAGAACTTGCAAGCCTGAAAAATCAATTTTGTTCCCACAATTGACTGATAGTTTGACAGGTTTTAGAATTCTAGGATGGATATCATTTTCAGTTATAATTTTGAAGACATTGCTCCATTGTTTTCTGTTGAGAAGCCCAATGCTATTCTGATTTTTGATACATTGCACATCATCTATATTTTCCTCTCTGGAAGTTTTTAGAATCTTCTCATAATTTCTAGAGTCCTGAACTTCCATGATTATATGTCTTGAAGTGAAACTACTTAATCTTGAGGCTCATTCCCCTCAGTTCTGGGAACTTTTCTTTATTATTTCTTTGATAATACTCTTTCCTCAGTTTGCTTTAGTCTCTCTTTCTGAAACCCATGTCAGTCAAACAGTGGGCTTCCTAGGTTGATTGCAAAATTTTCTTATCTCCTATCTTAATATCTTCTTATCTCCTGTCTTCATATTTCTTTAAATACTACTTCAAAGAAATTTCCTCATCGTTATCTCTCAGCACTTTTTAAAATTTTTGTTTTAATTTCACCTGACATATTTTTAATTTCTAAGAGCTCTTTCTTGTTTTCCCATTGTTCTCTCTTTCTATAGCATCTTGTTTCAAAGTAACTCTTTGACAATGCAATATCTTTTCTAATCTTTTTGAAGATGTTAATTATAATTAATTGGAAGTTTTGTTCTATATCTTGCAATATTTCTGTTTTTCTCTGAGTTCCTTTTATCTGTTCGTTTTCGTCTCTCTCTGTCTTGCAAGTTGGATATTTTCCTCAAACGTCAATACATATTTACAAGTAAGGTCCTTAAATGTTTATTGAAAGGTCTGTAGAATGGGTGAGTATTCTAAGACTTTGAGTTTCTCTTGAGAAGGATCCCCAATTTTTTGCTTAAAGGGATAAATCTGGTTATAGGTGTCCCAAGAACAAGGTGGAGGAATTCAGCAAACTTTGACTTAATAATCTGTGTTCACTCTATAATGTTTGCCCTACCCTTATACTATGCTTGGTGTACTCGAATCCATAATCTTTTGGGTCCAACTTTTCCATGGAGTAAATTTCTTGTAGGTGTTAATATAAAAAATGCCTGGCTACATTACGGTGGAGACAAAGTCTGGAGGAGCAGGTGGTTCTCACAGCTCCTTACATAACATTTAAACTAATCCCTAGGCCTTTAGCTCTGACTCTTACCCTTATTTTCTGCTTTACAATTGTTCTATTTACTAAAAACAATAAAAAAACAGAGATCAGAGGAGACCACTGATAGTCAAAATAGTTATAGAGTTTTGATGTGGTTTGGCCCTGTGTCCCCCACCACCCAAATTTCATCTTGAGTTGTAATCCCCATATGTTGAGGGAGGGACTTGTAATCCTCAGGTGTCAAGAGAGGTAAGTGATTGGATTATGAGGGTGATTTTTTTGTTTGTTTGTTTTGTTTAGATAAAGGAAAGAAGTTTAATTGACTCACAGTTCCACATGGCTGTGAAGGCCTCAGGAAACTTACAATCATGGCAGAAGGCGAATGGGAAGCAAGAACCTTCTTCACATGGGAGCAGGAGAGACGAGAGCTTCTCCTCCTGCTCTTCTTCCTCTTTTGGAAGGAGGAACTTCCAAACACTTATAAAACCATAAGATATCATGAGAACTCACTCATTATGAGACCAGCATGAAGGAAACAGCACCCATGATCCAATCACCTCCCTTCCTAGACACGTGGGGATTACAGGTCCCTTCCTCAACACATGGAGATTACAATTTGAGTTGAGATTTGGGTGGGGACACAGAGCCAAACCACATTGTTTTATAGTTAGATTTATTTTTCTTTCAAGTTTCAGGTTTAGAGCTTAATGACTTTAGTACATAAAATCAAGTGGTTTTGTCTATTGAATTTGAAAGCCTGTAATAGGATAATACTGAGTTGTTCTTTACTTTCCATTATTACATAAGGTGATTATTAATTGTAATTTAATCTTATAATTTAAATCTTCAAACATTATATAATTTTGGCTAAGTTAAAAGGTGTTAAAGTTTTACCAACTCTACATTTTCATTCGCATCTCTTTTTTATAAGGAAAACTATGACATAATTTAACTGACTTATTCTTTTCTCTTTATTCACATCTATTCTCCAGGTAGATAATATGGGCCATTATCAGATTTCACAGTCTAAACAAGCCTTCCTTATGGTAATATGTTAAAATGAACTTC